TTGAGTGAAAACGGATCAGTATCGTATCAGTATAGGAGTGAATTATATCACTCTACACTTTTGAATGGGAAATTTCATTCTGGTAGAATCATTTTTAAAAATCAAAAATCAGTCGATCTTTTTATGAGAATCTGCATTCATCCAAATTAGAGTGACAACGCAATCACTCCAATATATTAGTGGCAAAACCATTTTGTGAGATTTAAAGAGTGTATTTGCTTTTTAAAGTTCACGCTCTATAATTCGGGTCAGATTTTAAGATAGAATTCTATTTTACAATACTACGAGTCGAAAAACATTTTAAAGAACTAAAATACACGCGTTTATAATTATTATAAGTTAAGATATACACGATGGAAGTGCGCGACATATAAAATTACAAGTAGAACTCTGTTCTACAATTTAACGCGAATTACAAATAATCTATAAGATGAGTTTAATACGATAGATATTTCGCGGTGACGAATTTGGCTGGTACACAACGCTCGGAATTCGATTTTTGCGAGTTAAAATGTTAGTGTGCGTATTGTGTAAACAAGGTCACGGTGTTACCGTTCGCGCGTAGAGACCCGAGCCGCTAAGTAGCGGCTGGCACCGCTTCAACGTGTTTATTGCCTCTCGGAACGTGGTCGCGGCAGGGTCACATTGTAATCAGTTCCAGCATGCTCGGTTCACAATTCGTATTCGGATTATGATAAAGATATCAGGGTAGACAACTCGTCAAAACAAATACCTGTCTTTTTTCTCTTTTTATCACGCGATTCAGTTAAGGATAAAGATAAATTGCTGATAACTGCTTAACGCTGATTGAAATTATGTCGCCTCGTGTTTGAAATTTCTCGTCGATATTTCTAATATTTCAAAGCACGATATAACGCACGAATTATCGGACCGGGGCGGTTTGAGCCGAACGAAAAGCCATTGCGACATACCAATCGTTCATTAACAATTGATTTGGGGTATAATAAATTTTATTTCGTAGTATTTACACTAAATATTTCGCGGAAACAATTAATTGATTGGCGCTCGATATGGCGTACGGCGTTTTCGGTTTTGTGTACGTTACACCTTGAAGTCATTTCGTACAGTGTTATCGCGGCATTATCTCTTGGTACGCGAGCACGACAGGTACTAGAGGATGAGGGATTATTCACCGTGAACGGTACAAGTACAGCCCTAATTAGTTCCGTACGTTAACCGCGCAATATAACTTCGGTGTTATATCAACCGATCATTTGACAAATTCGTCTGTTATGCTAATTTACAGGACGTCGCGGTTAACAACGGGAGTGCTGTGCCAAGTGTCGCGGGATCCTTGTATTCTATACATAGCAACGTGCGCGATCGTAATTAACTGCGTTTTCGAAAGGGTTGTGTCGTATGGGCGCCATCAAGAAATCCGAAAAGAAGAGAAGACCTGGGAGGCAGCACAGCAACTATGAGGTAACCATTTACTATTATTTATTTCTCTGTGTAAACTTTATTATTATTTTAAAACTACTTTCAAGGAAGCAATTATTTTTCTGATAAATATGGAATTATTTTGAGAGAATTACTTTAAAATTCAGATATATTTATCTTATATTTTATAAATCGACGTAGTTCTCGTACTACCATCAATTCCGTTGTTGCGCATCGTATGATGTGACAAGAAATATTTTGCAATGAATTTATAGAATTCTATCACAAATATACATAGATATATGCATTAAGAGCTTAGGAATATTGCAAATAACATAAATACAATATTCTATGGAATCCATTGTGCCTTATCATGAATGAGCTAGAGTGAATTAGTATCAATTCAATTCTAGAACAGATATTAGATTATTCATCAATGTATTATGCATACGAGAATGCATAAATACAGAAAAGTTCATAAAATAGAGTTTATTATTATTTAATGCTTTATAAGATTCAGATAAAATTACAGTTTGTCTGATTTTTCTAAGATAAACTCGATAAATAAAGAATAAACTGTAAATAGAGTTTGCTTGATAAAACAATAGTAGAGTAATTTTCTCAGAAGAAAAATGGTTTCCACATATAGTAAAAATATCATTCCTTACATTCTTTACGAAGCTCTCGACAAGATGATTAAAAATTAAAAATACAATGAAGACACGACATTTTAATGATGTTATTTGAATAAATTTTCAATATATGAGGTATATTAATCAATTTTACATTAAATGAATTAAAATGACATGAGCTTTATTACAATATAAAATGAGGAGATTTGTTGTGATCGATATTTCTGTATTAGGATTTTCGGTTTTTCAGAATATATACTATTAAAATATTGTGCGTGTATACCTATTCCTAGATTAATTTCAAGCTAATGTTAGTCTAAAATAATGTTAAATTATTGTTTACTTACATTTCTTTAATGAGAAAGATATATTTAAGGTTAACGACTACAAATATTTAAAAAAAAAGTAGTTTTTTGTTTTTTCCGTAAAACATATATCAAGGAGAAATATGAGAGAAATGCTGAGAGCGAGGAAACGTCCTGTATGTAATACCTAGGTGGACTTGGTTCTTACCCTTGTGCCATGAACTGCATCTTAACGTTTATACGCGGTGATCCTACCGCTACTGTGAAACGAGCGTTCCTCGTGCTCGCGTACATGGTACAAATTAATTCTCATCTCAGCCACAGCTGCTAGATACGGCGGCTTTTCAGTTTCCGCGTAAATCGCGGTACCGCCAGGAATTTAGGAATTTGGTAATTTAACCAGGCGGAAATTTTTTTTATTAAAATAGCGAATTTTCGCGTAAATCTGCTTTGAGCTTTGAAGCTTGTGTCTTCTTCGCGCAGCAACACGTGATTTTCGTTAATAGAAAGAAGGACGCGAAACCGCGGGTGATTAGCGAAGGAACGGGACGTTCATAACTTTGTCTATTCCATCCATCCAGTTTAAATTTCTATTTACTTTCACGCCAAAAGTTTGCAGCGCGAAGGCTCAAGTGTCGTGTATGAGTTTGCGAAGAGCGACGAAAGCGTAAACGGATTTTCCTCCACCCGACATGGCGGCTAAGGACCCGCTATTATTTACAAAAGTTCGCCGTCTTTACTTTCCTTTCTCGCCCAAGTCGTACGCCGCTTTTAACGAAGCGAGGCGTACACGAACTTCGAAGATACATAGCAGACGGTGCTTTTTTTTGCGGAAAGTACGTCTTTCTCTTTAATCTTTGCACGTGAGCTTCACGAAAATACATTGTTTTCTCCAAATTAAATAGAGATACGGGTTAAACATATGCGTTTGCGCTGAATTAACGCGAAATAAATTCCACATTATAAAGATAAAAGTCGGTCGCAAACATTTTTTCAAAACTATAACATTGCGTGTTTGTTTTTAATTAAATGGAATCGTCCGGGGATATTTATTTCCTGTTAAAAAACGAGAAATTAAATAGAAATCTGACAGATAAAATTACCCCTAAAAATAACGCATGGCTAAAGCGTTTATTTTTTATTAATTAATAGAAACGCACAAATTTTATCGTATTCTAAAATTAATTGTCTCGTATTAAAAGATTCATACTAAATTTGTTCGAAACGGACTATATAATTTATTTCTGCCAGTAATGTTTTAACAAATCACCGCTCACCGTGGTCAGTTATTACATGCCAGTACCCGTATATACGTGTGTCTACATCGATCAATATCGATCAGATTACACCAGACTATTTTTCTATTGATAGTACGATATCGCGAGATCATATTTTTTCCTCGCTGCGAATCGATGCGCCTCTGGGATGCTTCACAAGCACGGAAAAGCGGAGGATGCGGACGATGCTTCAAAGCGGTGATAAATCTCATGTGCTACGTCGATCGAAAAAAAAAAATTTCGTTTCTGTTCGAGAAAAATTTGCCGCGTAATGGATTCCGATCCTTTTGTACCGTCGAAATTGTGCGTGTACTATACGCACGCCGCGCGCGCCCTTTTTTTCCCCGCGTCAAATAGCGAGATAGCGGTAGGGAGAGAGAGAAAGAGAGAGAGAGAGGCAGAAAAAGAGAGCATTGGAAAAATTCGTACATGTGCCCTTACATTCCGTAATTTTCCTTCCCAATGCGTCATCATACCATTCATCGTTTTGCTGTTGCGATTTCAGTATAAAAAAAGTCGTTCGTTTTTTTTTTTCGCGTAACTTGAATTACCGTGATTTTATTTGACGCGCGCTTGCAGCGCGTGCATGCGATGCACCGGTATTGATCGCTTCGTTTTTCATTGGAGATAATTCATATTCAGTAGTACAAAATTATTCTACCGCGACAGAAGGAATAAAGGTGATGAAAAGGAAATGTTGTGGAAGTCAAAAGACTGATATCGCAATAATATTGAAATATTTGTCTTGTATTTATAATATTGTGATTATATTGCTAATAAATTAAGCAGTGCTTGCGAGAGGCACTTTACTTCTGTCAATTAATGTGATTTACAAGATGCGAATTGTAACGCGAACTGCAAAAACCGCGATTCGATTATTTCTAGAAAGTGTTGACAGATGACTAAAGGAATTAGATGAATCGAACAGTGAGAAATGGGAAATCTCATAAGAGATATAAATTGCTGTCTATCGCAAGAACTCTGTCGAGACAAGGGAAGATTGAGTAGTTTGAGACTCTTCGATCAGCACCAAGGCAATAGTGTAACTCGACTCTATCTCCGCGATGATATCCGAGAAGGATCTTAGAAATCACTTTTCTATCTTCATGTTCTTCACATTCTCGGAAACACTACGCTGCAAGAAGCGCGTTGTGTATACACACGTATGTATATCTGTTATATACATATATATATATATATATATATATCTGCACACAATATATAGACACACGTACACAATGGATTTTCAATTTCAATTACCGATATTGCGATATCGACGGGCGCTCGCTTTACTCTCTCCACCGCATTCTCCCTGGATTTACGTTGGATATTTTCCGCGCGTAATTAATTCGACCTAGTTTAACATCACGTAGTCGCTCGCTTACCTGGAGATTGGGTGGGCAATGGTCGAGAAGCTCCAGCATGTGCCTGATGTTCTGAGCGTCCTGTATCACGAAATTCAGCTCCATGTCGAATTCACCGCCCACGAGCTGCACATGGAAAAAAAAAGAGAGAAAACTCGTTGAAAACGGTGGACGTATGCATGTACAGCTGTGTATAATCCGCGGGAGTACTTTACGCGTTAACAGTAGCTGGCAAATGAAGTTTATTCTAACAGGACGTTGGTACATTATTGGCTTTTCTACATCCAAATATATGGAGTAGTAGTCATAAATAGTAACTCCGGACGGCAAACGGATCGGAAGTTCCCGAGGGGGATGTGTGTAGGTGCCCGTCAGTATTTAATCGCGGAAATGTTGCTAACTGAAAGCCTCATCGTTCGATATCCGGACGTACGTCAAACGTACGGTTTACGTAACGCCATCATTCCGTCATATCAAAATCCGGATAGTCACGCGCAGGATAAAACAAACAATACGTACACCGTTTCGACAATCCAATCGCTGATTACCTTGTATCACTATTATTAATATTAATTGATATAGGTGTAATATACTTTCCCACCTCCCTCCCCCGAAATCGCGCAGTATCACTTTTGTGTGTACACCTATAGAATTTCTTGATTCGTTAAATATGTTTCGGTGCCCGACGTTGAAAAACAATATCCGATTTACGCGTTACGCATAAAATGAATAAATATCGGCATATTTTATAATATATGTAGCGAGCGAGAGCGAAAATTTGCATTGAATTATACATACATATTGCATCTTTTTAAGAGCATTACGGTATCGCTCGTTATTGCGCATAAAGGAAGGACAATGAATAAAGCCGCATTCCCATTTCGCGTTTTTACTCGTTCAAAAATCTATGTAATGTATATGCATGATATATCTGCATTGGACGATTTCGGGGACAGTTCGGGATCATCTGGCGAAAAACGTACATTTGGACCGGCTGGTAACGTTGTATTTTTAGGGATTACCTAAAACGCGCTGCAGACAAAACATTTTGGACACGAAAAGTTTACGGGCTATGTCCGTTTGCGGTTCTTCTTCTTACTGGGACGACTTATATATAGCCGGACCGGAAGTGCTGCCTCCGCGGAGAGAGCGTAATTTCCGGAGAAGTATCGCGCGCTCATCCTCCGCGCGTTTCTCCTCTCCTCTCCTCTCCTCTCCTCCTCCTCTCTCTCTCTCTCTCTCTCCCCCCTTCCTCTTTCTCTGCTTCGTTTTCTTTCAAACGTACCGATATCGATCATGAATTTCTTACACGTCTGTGTGCGAGGTCATGACCAATTTTTACGAGCGCGTCGATCGCTCGTAAAAATTCATGACTTACGCAGGACCGTTTATAAAGCAGACTGTGCGCGGCGATTGAAAGTGGAGCTTATCCCGGTTCAACAGTTCCGATCGAACGACACATCAGATCTTAACTTTGCTCTCCGTTTCCGGTGGAGTTGTATCGTAAGCCGAGGGGGAAGGGGGGATTGGACCACGCCAGAATCGCGTGGTGCATTGGTTTTCGTTCTACATTCCGGAAAGAATATTCCTGGGAACTGTTCTTCCGTGAAAACACACACGTGAGGGCGAAGGTAAACTTTCCGCGCGGAGAAGGAATGTTACTCTTTTCATCTAACTCGCAACTAATACCACATTTGGCGCCGCGCAAAGCGCAAACCCCAATGTTGAGAAAATGGAATTGTTAGCAGAGGCGCGCCGTGTCCGATAATGGCATGCTCGGACTTTCTTGCTTTTCCGCTTTTACTACGGTCTGCCATAGCGTTTCGGAAAGCTCATGTTTCACGTAATAAGATGACAAAGTTCGCCACTCGATCTAACTCTCGAAACTAAAAGCGGCGGTAATTTCAACAAACATTGCGTTTGACTCGACTCTACAAATAATTTCTGTGAACGAGTAATCTGATATGATGGCAAAATCAAATAACATAATATTTGCAGTTGGTAGAATATGATCATTACTATCAATAATCTGTATAAAATTAAACTAAAATGTTATCATAAAATGAATTTTACGAGTCGTATTGATATATCTTTTACACCGAATTATCCCTAATTTATTTATCGATAAAAGGAATCGATCACGTAACGTTTTCGTTTTCTGATTGGTATTAATATCAATAGAATTATGCTACAGTTTTCTCTCCCTCTCCAACGTTTAATGCGAATAATTACATGAGATTAGAATGCCATAAAGGGAGAAACAGAATTTTCAAAGTACAGCCGCTTGGCGTGCTTCCAACTATTTACAACGCAATTACATTCTTGCATTTGTGATGCACCGTGGAACATGAGAATGTGTATCCGGAATTTAATTTAATTCTTTTTTATGTTACATGCGCCGCTAACTTTCCATCACCAAAAATTAAAACCGTTTGAAAAATAAAATATTATTTAAGCGTGCGTTTCTATTAACAGAAATAGCTCGCAATTACGTGACCACTTTATACAACGGAAACATTTCTCTAAATACCAAATATGAAATTTTTTGTCATTAGAAAAATTAATTAAAGACCTACATGCAATCAATTCGCGCATATTGCATGATTGTCACTATATGGAAGAGCTGAGAGAGACATGGTGTGTAGATTATGTTTGTATTGGCACGTATCGGCCATTTTCGGAAATCATTGATCCCCCGAGGAACATAAATCTTTTGCGTAATAGAGAAGGGTGGTAGAAAGGTAGAGCATTATTGCTGATAGAGAGGGTTCAATGCCGCCAGAGCAATTTTTCGAATGACCCATATCACTTGCGCGAATCTTAACAGCCAACGCCGGCGCCGTGTCGAGAATCGAGAGAATAATCGAACGGCATTTAAAAAAATATCTCGAGATCCGCGGTTCGATCGTCGTATCGTCGCATTGGATCGCCTTTTTTCAAAAAGAGTAATTTCGTAAAATTATTCTATTCTATAGAATAATTTTACTTTCATCTCTTTGTCCTTTGATTCTGAAATTTAGAGATTAAACGAAATTTTCAAGTAAGATGTAAAGGAATAGTCTGACACACTAATTATACCTGTCCTCTTAGTAAGTCTTTAGCGTGTGAATCGCTCGTATTCTTCTTCGAGGTTAGCAATTCCTTTTTGGTCTCTCCTACATTTCTATTTTACGATGCACAAACGAGATACGTAATGCACTCGTGTACTAAACCCAAATGCTGCTACAGATATGCGCAGCCCAGGAGAGACCGGGTGGACAAACGAAAAGTAAGTCTCAACCGCTGAATTAAGGTCGACTGGCTGAGCTGACCGCTAATTAGATACCACTCGCTTTTACACCTGCATATTCCTTTGACAAAACCGGTTACGCAAGGCGTAGCGGATGTCTAACTTGCATATCCGACACTGAGATCCATTAAGGAGTTGCGAACTTACAAAGCTGGATGTAGAAAATCGTTTAAAAATAGTAATAACATTATTAATTTTTTCTTTAGTACGATTTTTGCAGTGAAAGGATTCCAAGGCCTTTCAATAAGGCTTTGGCCTTTCAAATTTAAATATACGTATTATGCAATTTAAATGAGTCATTATAATAAATAATATGAAGGAAAAACAAATTCGGTTGAGACTAGATGTTGGTTGCCCAATAGTTAATATTCTTAATTTTTTAATCTTTAAATTTCAGCTATCGTAAATTACTCGCCAATTACTGTCTTTAAGAACGTGTTTAAAAACGAGTATTATTTAATTATTTTAATTATTTTAGATATTGAGATTGGCGACGATATTATCAGTAATTACTATATGTGTAATTATTTTAGATCAATTTAATATTCCGCTATCGAAACTTAATAATTCAACTTGCAGCTCTTCTTACTTACAGCGAAATTTACGGTACGTTTTGCTTTATGACGTAATAATCATCGATGCAAAACGGGCGCAAATATAGATTTTATTGGAAAATCGATTTGTCAGCTGTAAGCTGGCCCTTATTTGCGATGTATAAAGCACGGTGCGAACGCGTTCGTGCTGTTTGTGTGAAAAGTCTTTATCGAGTTACTGCAGAGACAAATCCTGTTTGTGAAATTTTAGATGCTCTCCATTTTCTCGGAAAATGCATTTCCCTTGATTCTATATATAGGTATTTGCACATTTTTGACCTTAATTCATCTCTAAAAATGAGAGAAAAGTCTCAAGAAGATGCAGAGAAGACGATACATTTTCTTAGTTTAAAATTAATAAGACATATAACGTAATTGAAGGGCTTGCTGCGATAGTGGGCTGACCTAGATTTTGCACGAAAAAAAATGGAAAAAAGTAAACTCTAAAATTAAACCGACGGGAAAATATAATGCATATAATCTATTTCTACAAATATCTACATATTTTCAGCTACGTTGCGGGTCAACCCATTATATTGCAGCGAGTTCATCAATTAAGAGATACGTAGAGATTTTATATATGTATATATGAAAAATCATACGGAAACGTTGCACATATTTGTGTATACGTTTATAAAAGAAAATTCGCATTTTTACGGAAATATGTGTCGCACGGCCGTGCGACATATGACGTTCACGTACTATATCATCTTGCGGGAGATCCGAGGATCACGAGCGTTATATCATTTCTGTCAGAGCAGGCGAGCACGTCTAGCGGATCGACGAGCGCGCATCTACTTTGGGATGTCATTAATCTGCATCGAGATCTGCATTTCAATCGCCAAATGATACGGTCCACTGTTCTACGCGCCCCGGTGAGACTTCCGCGAGATCTCCATCGGCGGCGCTGTATTTACATATCGGTACAAGGGGGGGGGGAGTTATACAGCTGCGCGGCGTTCTGAAATGTCGACTCTGTGACAAGTCACCTCTGGGGAACATAACTCTGACAATATGAGTGCTGCATTTGAATTTGTAATACCGAGCGCGCGACGACGCGCGCGCGCGCGTGTGTGTTACATGTCGCGCATACATGCCGAAGTAATCTCAGCCGCGTTAACTGCGATGCAACTGCGTAAAACACGGCGTTCTATCTTTCGTTTAATCTCGCCGTTACGCTCAGACATATATCTTTCCCGGAAGAATATTTCTGAAACATTTCCTCCTGATATTCTTTTTCATAG